ATATATACGACTGTAAAAATTGATACCTATTAAGGAACAAGGAGCACTGACTCTATTCAGACAACAATCTGCTAGATAACCACAAGGATGCTGAGGTTTGACCAAAACTTGGAACCTTGGATGGGCTTCGAACTTGTAATTACTCTCTCCGGACGCTCACGTGCTATCCAGAAAGGAACAGGCAGTAAATAAAGGTTAAAGATTGTAATGTTTTAGATAGGCCAACTGATTCAGATAGGATAACTAGCCGGTGGGGGTTCACTTAGATGGAAAGTTAAGCGGCATCCTGTCGGTCGAAGGCCAAACAGCCACCGACAGCGACCCATCGTTATTCGACCCAGCACTTGGTATACTATTATTGATCGCAGTCCTCTATGAGTGATGCAAAACATCATTACAATCTAGGTCATAGCTCAGAAAGATGATTATTAGGGGTTATTAGGTATTTCGAATCGGTTAGTGGGTTTTATGCCATTTAGGATAAAGTTAATAACTTCTTAGTTTATGAAACTACTTTCTTTGGTGCGTGTAGAAGCGTGGTTAGAGGCGCCGTGCAATACACATGGGATCGATTCGGGTGCTCTAGGCTCATGAAGCTTTCTATCCCATCAGGGTCGGCGGATCGGGGCCAGACTTGTCTGGGAGAATAGAAGCACTGACTCGATATATCGGTAGCTTACGGCGAATCATTGTATAGGCCAGATCACCTCTGACAATGCTTGATGAAGTCGAATGCATGGCACATCCTTCAGGGATTGATAAACGCCGAGAGCTTCATCCCTTAGCCTTCGTGAAATTTATCGCTGTTCAGCGCTTCGTTGGCTCTACTACTGACTATTATGACTTCAGAAAATATACATAAATCAAAAATTCTTAACTTTTTACTTACTGCCTATTCTTCTTTTTTCGTGGCTGGGTGTTAGATGAAATACAAGCACAAGGATGCTGAGATATGAGCAAAACTCGGCCCCTCATTTGGGCTTCGATCCTGCCATAACCTTTTTCAGAGGGACATTGTGATCTCGACTGCGGCTTCAGTTGAACTGGCTTCAATGCCTGATTGCTAAAAGCACCACTGTGACAAAACACTTTATGAGAGAAAGCCAAAGCAAGGACCTCGGTCAGTGTAGTAGATACCATGCGAGACTCCGGAAAGGTTAATCTCGTGTTTGAAGCCTAACTGAAGCTTCCACTTTTGCTCGTATCTCAGCATCTTAGTGGTTGTATTAAAAATCAATTCTTTTGTGATCTTTGAGAAAAAGATGTGTCCCTTGGTTTTCATAGGATTTGAAAGGATGATATTCATAAATAACTAATTGGGTTCTTCCATTACTGTTGGTGTATTCACGCGTCGGTTGTCCAATTCTCTTCGAATCAGACGTGAGAGCGCATTTGTTGGAGGACATGGAGCATCCCATGTTCTTTCTTTACTGGTCCTTGACCTCACCTCGACGTAGGATATGACCTGCGTGCACGTAGTTACACTCAGGCATATATGCATGAATAAGCTTACAGGTATTCGAAAGGTATAAGTTAATACCGATCTGCCGACACAAGAAATACATCCTGAGTGCACCTACATTTCAGGACAAGAACATTAGCTCGTTTGGTGCGCTATTCTACACGATGTCCGCTGCGTACATTAGTAAGTGTAACATAAACTAGCAAACAAGTGAGCTCAGTTAATGCATATAAGGAGATTCGATAGCTGTGAGAGAAGAAAAGTGGTTCATAGATATCTCGCTCCTTAATGCTTAAAACCGGAAGCTTGTTTTTCATTAACGATCGGTAAATTCTCAATAACGAGAACACTTGACAAGTTGAAAATGTGATCAGCTCACAAGAGTCATTGTTTTACCCAATTAGGAGTAAATACTGTTGTTAAAGCTATTATTCGATTTTTGAAGTTGTTTGGAATTAAAATCTATTGAAGAGTCGGAAGCTAAAATTAAATTTTTAAAATAAGAAGCGAGATTCTAGCAGGCACCACAAGCATGTAAGACGCAATTGCGGAGATTATAGTGACTCCCACGACCGACTTTCTATTAACGTCGGCATCGATCAAGTAATTCTTCCTATTCTTGTTGAGCAAAAACGGGGTGTTATTTTTATCCTTTATTCACGAATAAGCTGACGTTTCGGCGGATTTCCCCTTCCTCAGAGCCTGGAAAGGTCAAGTTGACAGAAATATATTCGGCCAAACACCACCATAACCAAACAAAGAAAACGCTAAACCAAGATTTCAATCACATTGAACACAGCTCTGCACACTCACCGCTTTCTATGAGTCTTCCACTGAGTATGTCGTGTGAAGACCAATAGCACAGAATTCACATGGAAGCGTAATATGCTCCTCCCATCAGAATAACAGGTTTATATATTGCCCTATATCACGCGTGATAATGAGGCATTCTTCCCTGTAGTTCATTTTCGGATTTCTGAAATTAATCCAGAACGCCTCGAGAGTTTTGCGCGCTTGTGTTCTTGATTCCTGTGCGAGGATCTTGACACGAACTTCAAAGTCCTCCCCGTTATGTCTCTGGGTCCTATGCGTGCCTAGCGGGGTATTTGGTTTATGTTTACCGGCTGGGTGTTCCTTTATGCGGACACAGAGGGCTCTGCCCGTTTCGTCAATGTATTTCTCTCCGCACGCCTTACAAGAGATCAGATAAACTATACCCGAGCTCATGCGATCACCGGGGCAAATTATGCAGTTTTGCGTTGCACATAGACGGTCATATAGGCGATTACGAACTAGCTGGCGGCTGAGATTACTTGGTGGCATTTCAACTACGTTTATCGAATTCCCCAGACCCGCCCGTCTTACCGTCTTAAGCAGAGTTTTATAGCTGCACATACATCATTTGAGATGAAGGGTAGGATAAATAGGACGTTTCTATTGCTAGAGTTGTCGTTTGGGGGCCTAGGATTTCCCCTACACCTATTTCGAGCTAGCGTTTCGTAGCCATTCAAAATGGCTATTTGCCGCGCCAAGTTCCGCGACTCCTCTATCTGCTCTCTTCCCGCGCACACGTTGGCTGCTGTTAGAAACATGATTCTCGCAAGCGCCCTTTTCGCGTGAGAAGCGTGAGAGGAGAGGTAACGAACCTAGGTGTTTTTACTACTTCGCTTTCGGTACCACTGAGTAATGTAGCCATTTTCTGACAGGTTAATTTGGACGTTCAGGAATGGAAGGCAGTTTTCTTTCGGTTTCTCTCGGGTGAACTTGATATACTCTGACTGTTCGTTCAACAACTCGAAATATTTGTCCATTTCCTCCTGTGTTGAGCAAAGGACAAAACAGTCATCTATATATCTACAGTAGAGTAATGGCCCGGGATCGGTTACTGGTGCCTCCACCTTAGATATAAACCCAATGGAAGGACTTGGTGCCAGTCGTTGTCCAAATGCCAACCCTCTTATTTGACTAACTAACTGCTCTAACTTGAAACCATACACGTTTATTTCTCCTTCGTGTTGCATAAGGAGTTCGAATACGGCTTGCATTGCGGAGTCATTCGACACGTTTGTATAAAGGACGGTAACGTCGAAGGACTCCATCACGTACGCGCTGTTAGGCTGCGCAGTACGTAAACGATCCAGAAACATCTGGGTATTCGTAAGATGGGTGGGATGTGTTTCAACAACTGGTTGAATATTAGGGTTAAAAACCATGTTATCCTGTCCGCTGGCCCGTCTACGCAGCTAATGATAGGTCTAACCTTAAATAGAACAAATAGGCAAATAGCCATTTCGAATGGCTACGAAACTTTGGCTCGAAATAGGTGGGAATACGTTGGCGAAACGGGCAGACTCCCCGTGTCGGCATAAAAGAATACCTAGCCAGCAAACGTCTACCAAATACCCGACTAGGCACGCATTGGACCCAGAGACATAACGGGGAGGACTTCGAAGTACGTGTCACGATCCTCGGACAAGAATCGAGAAGACAAGCGCGCAAAACTCTCGAGGCGTTCTGGATTAATTCCAGAAATCCGAAAATGAACCGCAGGTAAGAATGCCTCATTATCACGCGTGATATAGGGCAGTATATAAACCTGTTATTCTGATGGGAGGAGCATACTATGCTTCCATGTGAATTCTGTGCAATTGGTCTTCACACGACATACTCAGTGGAAGACTCATAGAAAGCGGTGAGTGTGCAGAGCTGTGTTCAATGTGATTGAAATCTTGGTTAAGCGTTTTCTTTGTTTGGCTATGGAGGTGCTTGGTCGAATAGATTGCTGTCAACTTGATCTTTCCAGGCTCTGAGGGAGGCGAAATCCGTCGAAACGTCAGCTTATTCGTGAATAAAGAATAAAAATAACACCCCGTGTTTGCTCAACAAGAATACGAAGGAGATTATAGTCTTAACCCTTTTATTTACTACCTTTTTCGTTTTAATGGCAGGGTATGTTGCGAAATATAACTCGTCTATAATGCTGAGATATTTGCAAAACACTGGACCGCACGTGTATGCGGTGGCGAACGAACGCGCGCTATTGTCTTTACCGGGGAGTAGCGCACTTCACCACCACACCATCTGGGTCCTTCGCCTTGCCTGTCTCTCAGCTAGTCCCGTTGACGGGTGATTGCTGATGGCAAAAGATCAATGGAACTAGCTGAGAGACGGGCAAAGCGAAGGACCCGGATGGTGTGGTGGTGGTGAAGTGCGCTACTCTCCGGTAAGGACAAGAGCGCGCGTTCGTTCTCCACCGCATACACCTGCGGTCCGGAGTTTTGCAAATATCTCAGCATTATAGAGGAGATTATAGTGTTTCAATCGACGAAGTGGTTTTAATGCTTCCTTTTTTATGAACTCCCTACTACAGTTTTTATCGTCAGGGTATTATGCGAAGTCAACTACAACGATGCTGAGATATTGGCAAAACTTGGACCCCAGGCCAGATCAAACCACGATTTCCCTTTCCAGTGTGTGATACGCGAGTCCCGGAAAGAGAAATTGTAATTCGATCTGGCACGGGATCCGACTTTTGTGAATGTCTCAGCATGAGTTTGAGATAGAAGCAGTTATGGAAGCCCTTGATAGTCAAGGAGTCCTTACACAGTGCATAAAGATTCTTCGTGAGCTGCAGAAAAATTTCACAACCAAGATATCACCATTCTACAACGGTGATAACATTGATGTCAAAACAGGAGTTAGGCAAGGCGATACCATCTCGCCAAAATTATTTACCAGCGCCCTCCAAAACGTCATGCGAACAGTGGAATGGGATAATATGGGAGTGAAAATCGACGGTCGGCAGTTACACTATCTTCGCTTTGCTGATGACATCGTCCTTATAACACCAAACATTAGCCAAGCGGTACGTATGCTTGACGACTTTGATAAAGCATGTGGAAAGATTGGTCTTCGACTAAATCTCACAGAAACGATGTTCATGAAGAACGGATTGGTTTCGTATGCTCTATTCACGCTCAACGGAACGAATACCTCCGAATGCTCCAGTTAAACCTAGCTAGGTCGTGAAATCAGTATGATGAACGACCTAGCTATACATCTGAGCAGAAGGAAACGAGCGGCTTGGGGAGTTTTCAAGAGCATCGATGATGTAGCGGTGAGAACAAAGAACATCCAGCTGCGTGCCCACCTTTTCGACTCAACATTACTTTCTGCGTTAACGTATGCATCGGAAAGCTGGTCGCTGCGCAAACAAGATGAAAAATCACTCAGCGTCATTGGAAGCGCAGTCGAAAGGACGATGCTAGGAGTATCCCGTTCCACACAAGTAAAGGATGGGATCCGAAGCTCCGATCTGCGTCAACGATCAAAAATCAAAGATGCTGTTCCGTACGCCAAAGAGCTGAAGATAAGGTGGGCCGGATACGTAATGCGTATGTGTGACAACCGGCGGACGAGAGCCGTTAGTGACTGGATTCCTCGGGAAGTTAAACGCACTGCAGGAAGACCACCGACTCAATGGTCAGAGTTCTTTACGAAAAGCCTAGAAGAAAGATATGATCATCGACGAGTCCGTAAAGCCAGCAGAACCCACTTGGCTACTCTTCCATGCGATAGGGAAAATGGAAGATTTACTGGCGTCCGCACGAGTCACTCGACGATCAGCGGGACTATAGGTGATACAGGCCCTAGTGGTAGATAGGGTGATTGTATGTGTTCTCGTAAAGCATGTGGGGACGAATATGTTGGCGAAACAGCTAGACCAGTTTTCGCCTATATGAAAGAACACCTAGTCAGTAAATTTAAAGTTAAACCAAATCTTAACCCTTTTACTTACTGCCTTTTTGTTTTTAATATACGAGTTATATTTCGCAACATACCCCGCCATTAAAAAGGAAATGCTGATGGCAAAAGATCAGTAGAACTAGCTGAGAGACAGGAAAAGCGAAGGACCCGGATGGTGTGGTGGTGAAGTGCGCTACTCTCCGGTAAGGACAATAGCGCGTCCGTTTCCCCCGCATACACCTGCGGTCCGGGGTTTTGCAAATATCTCAGCATTATATACGAGTTAAACCAAATGTTCGACTAGGCGCGCATAGGGCACAAAGACATAACGAAGAAGATTTTGAAGTAGAAATTAACACCCTCACATAAGAATTGAAAGCGCGCAAAACTCTCGAGGCTTTCTGGATCAATTCCAAGAATCCGAAAATGAACCGCATGGATTAGTGCCTCATAATTACGAGTGATACTGGACAGTATTTAAGACCGTTATTCTAATGTGAGAGGCACATTACGCTTCCACATGAGCTCTGTGCGTTTGGTCCCCAGGTGACACATTCAGTAGAAGACTCAGAAAGCAGTGAGTGTGAGAAGAAGCTGCACTTGTCTTTAATGCGATTGGAATCTAGGTATTGTGGTTCTTCTCTTAAGATTATGGAGGCGATTATCTGGCTAGATTGCTCTCAACTTGACTTCTCCAGGCTCTGAAGAAGGCAAATTCCTCATAACGTCACCCGCTGTGAATACACAGTGCGTGGTAACAACCTTGTCTGTGCTTATCAAGAATCACATCATGTTATTGATTATTCATGCCTAGGTTAAACGAAAGAAAGTTTTAAGATAGTCAAGGACCAATAATCCACGACCGTTAATCCGGACTATCCGCCGAATGGCTAAGATAGCGGTCGATGCATTGGGTCAACTCCGCTCGGCGTTTGAATTTCGCGCTTCCGTACGGGACCGCCGTCAACTGGGCTGCAGTAGGCGGTTGTCAGACCGCTGTTGTTTTGTCAGCTCGTGCGACTCTGACGATGATGGTAGTAGGCCGGTCGATTGTTCTCGAAGGTTCCTCTACGTCCTTAGCCTAGCGTTTTTTGTTTTTATTATCGCATCGTGCTTACTTAGCAGTCCATGCAATTAGCTATTGTTACGCTCTCAGTGTTGTATTTGGACTTCTACCTGTGTTATGCTAACGTGTTTCTATTGTTATGTCAGGAAAGTCGTTAATCGATCGAGGTTCTTGAGATTTCAGCATTAGAATCACCACTGATCAGCAGTGATTGAGTACTTGCTCGAGATTTTGTTCCGTTCGTGTGAAATCTTCGCATTTGACATAAATCGTTGATAGGTAGGATATGGCTCGTCCGCAGGTTTTCTTCGACATCACCATTGGCGGTAAGGCATCAGGCCGTATTGTCATGGAGGTAGGTGCGGATCTACGCAAGGTTTTATCCAATTTTCTCTTAGATGCTCGACATAATAGAGGCTATTTCAGTTATACTCTGATATTGTCCCTAAAACGGCAGAGAATTTTCGCGCGCTGTGCACCGGTGAGAAAGGAATTGGCAAGTCTGGCAAGCCGTTACACTACAAGGGATGCAAATTCCACCGTATCATTCCGAACTTCATGATCCAAGGAGGTGATTTCACTCGTGGCAACGGAACTGGAGGCGAGTCCATCTATGGTGAGAAGTTCCCTGATGAGAACTTTAAGGAGCGACACACAGGCCCAGGAGTTCTCTCCATGGTTCGCTTATTTTTCGTTTTGCTTTTTTTTTCTTTGAGCTTATAGCGCAAGATTGGAGTGCGATTTTCTAGGCGAATGCTGGTCCAAACACGAATGGATCGCAGTTCTTCCTATGTACTGTGAAGACTGAGTGGCTGGATGGTAAACACGTTGTGTTCGGTCGTGTCGTTGAGGGCATGGATGTCGTGAAAGCGGTTGAAAGTCACGGATCTCAGTCTGGAAAACCATCGAAGGATTGCGTGATCGCCGACTGTGGACAACTCTAAACAGTCTGATCTCTTTCGTTGTTTTCATTTTATAATACCTGTCGTTTACTGGTAATCGTCCAGATTGTTGTATAATTTATTAATCTGTGCCGAAGTAAAGTTTAACATTTCAGTGAACGCGGTTTGGTATTTTTTACTGTAGTCTCGCTATGTTTTCTCTAATGTGTTGGAACGATGGTATCAACTTAGGAGTTCTAGTAGTGGTGCTGAAAAGTGGTTGGCCTACTTCTCAATGTTTGTCCTATTTCTGGAGTAGCGTTGTTATAAATCTTGCTGATTCTTTAAGCATATAGGTTCTTTCTATGAATTCTATACCATGAGTGTCTCACTTCTTACCAAGTATTCGAAGATCGCGAAATCGTCGAAGAGGGCGATTTTGGCGTTTTCGTGGTAACCGGTATTAATTTGAGTAGATGTAGTACTGAAATGTTTTGAGCAGCTTTGGTCTGCTTCATGAGAACATGAACTTTTGGTAATTCCTAACACTTTGCTTGGGTAGTGTTAGGCAGTACTGTGCAGTGGATGTGATGGAGCGTATAACTGTTGTGTGAAGGATGAATTCTACTCTTAGGTATTTCAGTCCTGTTTCTCTCGGTATTGTTCCTATAATATTATCACCGAATTTGATTTGTTGTTCAATTAGCTAGCTCACTTTTATCGGGTTGGCCGTGCAAATAGTGAGTGGTGTGCACTACTGATGCCAGTGTAGAAGATGATATGTGGCGACCTTTCCGGAGAAACCACGTATATGTAGGAGTGTGTGGTGCAGTTTAGCAAAGGAGAAAAGTACAATTAATGGTATTGATGGGGTATTCTGGAGCAATGTGAGTTTCAGAAGTTTTTCTGTCAATTGTGTGGTCTACTGCATCGATCATAATCAGATTTGTTGTTGTCCTGGAAGAAACAGATCGCTAGCAAGACTTTTTCTGATACACAAGAGAAAGTGGCTAGCAGTAATGAAGACTTGAGAACCTTGTCGAGCAACTCTGCCGGAATTCCAGGAACAGTCATAATCGATTACTAGTCAGCTTTATGAATGAGGACAGAATGAGGAGTCTTTCAATACGCAGGCTAACTCATACTCGAAACTTGACCATACAAATGAAGGTTCAATTGTGACGAAACGAAGGTAAAGTATGGAAGGCGTGTGGAGATTGGTGATCTAGGTGTCTGTTGACTCGAAGGTATCGAAGGATCCAGTCCTGTGACCTTATGCGAGTATGTGTTTGCACCATGACTTACATGTTATTGATGAATCGTCTTAGTCAAGATTCATCCACTGTGGACGATGCTGGCGATTGAAAATAATCCACTCTTTCAACCTTGAGAAACTACATTTCAGACCTTGTTGAATGTTGCCAACTGACATAACTAAAATCTACAGGTATTTGCTAACAAAAACATTCTTTGTTATTCCAGCAACGCATAATTCTGATTTTCTGAAAGCGTCGAGGTTTGGACTTTGAGTCCTGGAATAAGTGGGATGTGATCAAGCACGACTTGATGGTGCCTTCGAGTGCTTTTTGAATAACTGTGGCTATAAAGCTTGCATCTGGGTTAAAATTCTTTCGCGGTTTTCGTAAAATAATGTAATAGTACCGAGGGCGCGTGTGGTGCAGTGGCTGGAGGCGCCACTGCTACGCACATACGTGGAATCGTTCGCCACGCCCATGGGTCACCAAGCCTTCCATCATTCCGGAGTCGGCATATTGATACCAGACTTGTCTGAGAGGATAGTAGCACTGACTCGACACATCGGTAGGCCACCGCGAGTCATTGCGAAAGCCAGGTATGCGATCAATCATTTCAAACGATGCTTAATGATGTCGAATGAATGGCGTTTCCCTTAGGGATTGATCAATGCCGAGAGCTCTATCCTTTTAGCTTTTAACCTAATAGTAAGATGTACATCCGAGATCCATCTTTACTATTCGGAGTCTGAAATCTCCTCATCATAAAAATGAACTTACATCTGGACCGTAGTTATATTCGTTTCTTACCAGGATAACATAGGCAAATGTGTGAATTTTCAGTTCTACTGAAGTATTTTTAGCTTTCTAGTTCGTTGTCGAGTTGTATTTTTCCGTTTAAAAACTATCCAGAGGATTAAATGTCGAGAACTACCGAGTCGCCATTGAAGCTCATTGGAATTGTACGTTTTCTTTTTTCTTACCTATAAGTGGAATACGAAAAACTGTGTCAGTTGTACCTTCTCCGATTGTTAAGCTAACATGAGTTGGTATAGAAATTTATTCCGCTAACGTTTCTTCGTCTTCCTGAGAGCAGACGATCTGAGTCGATGGTCCGCAGTTGTTCGTCTTCTCGATGTGGGGTCTTCGGCGTCGTCCCGAGAAAACTATGTCAGCTATCCGTCCGTAATCAACAAATTTTAAAGTTTATACTGTTCGTAATCGCATTGATGATGTGATATGGATGTTTGGAGATGAGCTGGACCTCAAATATGTGAAGGAGAACGGAAACAATATGAACACAGAATGCGGTCGAACGAGCATCACAATTCTATTACCGTTTCTGTGTTGAAGTTTTTCGTGAGCACTTCCGTAGAGTAAGTTACTCGAGTAGCTTCCTAGCGACGAAATTGACGTCTTTCATTGGTTCAGAACCTTGTAGAGTCATGTCTGCAGTGCTGTTCGTTGGAAAGATGTTCATGAAAATGTACGTGAAACCAGAATCTTTCCCGACTTGCAAATCAACTGGGTGATTTCTTTTATTAGGCCTGACAACAAAAGATATGTCTCAAAACCGAGTAATTTCGTACCTGTTTTCATCGACATTTTGAATGACAGGAAGCTTACACTTTACTGAATGAAATAATAAAGGGAGAAAACGCTCAGATTTAAACAATTCCTGGAAGATGCGTCATGCGGTCGAATCAATTCATGGAATCGCAAAGGTGAGTGAATGCATTCCTGGCCTATATAGTGACTGATTTGTAGTGACCTATTGTATATTCATGTATCGAGTGAATATTTTTATCCTCTCAAACAAGTTTGGCACTGATTTTCCGATCCCGTAGGGGTGGAAGGCTTGGTGAGTTTGGAGCGAGAGATCGAGGCAGAGACCAATCCGGTAGTTGGTAGGGCGACGGATGGGAATATAAAGGATCGTAAAACTATTCATGATCATCTGTTCGTGATTAATGTTGTGGTCGTTGTGTATTCCTCATGATTCATTATTTCTTCATCGTTATGTTGATAAGGCATGTTTATGTTTTTGTATATTCTGATCGATCTCGATCAGTGTGGTCATTTGTACAGCTGGCAGGATCTGGGTGCGATTCTACGATGTCGAACATTGTGGGTTGCAATTCTGAAATATCGATTTTCGAGAAAGTTCGATCGATTTCGAAACAGATCGATGTGTTACGGTACTAGACATAGTTGCCACTAATCGATTCAGCTTACGACGATAAAGATGAGCTTTTATTTTACACACGACGTTGAGACACTGTGTAAGAACGTTTACTGACAGCTGCTTTCGTGTACACTGCGGGAGTTCTCGTCCTGGGCACTTTCTCTGTAACTAGAAGAATCATATTGCTGAGTCATTGGTATTTCGAAGTTATGAGGATTAGCTACGCGCTATTGTCGTATTGAGGAGTAAACAACACATATCAAGACGAGGGTTTCGTAGTAAACCCAATGAGTCATTCTTATTACATATCGTCTTTACTATACTGATATATTGATAATAATTTGCTGTAAATCAGAAGTTTGCGGAGTGTAGCATTTCGTTTAATGAAGTCACGAACTCCCACGTCCGAGTTTCTATTAACCTCGGCATTGATTGAACAATTCTTTCCACTTCTGTTCAGCAAACACGAGGTGCTATTCCATTTCCCTGCTCACGTAAAAGCTGACGTTTCGGCGGATTTCGCCTTCCTTAGAGCCTGGAAAGGTCAAGTTGACAGCAACCTATTCGGCCAAACAGAGAAAACGCTAAACCAAGATTTCAATCACATTTAACACAGCTGTGCACACTCACCACTTTCTATGAGTCTTCCACTGAGTATGTCGTGTGAAGACCAACCGCACAGAATTCACATGGAAGCGTAATATGCTTCTCGCATCAGAATGACAGGTTTATACACTGACCAATATCACGCGTGATAAATAATGAGGCATTCTTCCCTGTAGTTCATTTTCGGATTTCTGAAATTAATCCAGAACGCCTCGAGAGTTTTGCGTGCTTGTGTTCTTGATTCCTGCGCGAGGATCGTGACACGTACTTCAAAGTCCTTCTCGTTATGTCTCTGGGTCCTATGCGTGTCCAGCGGGGTATTTGGTTTATGTTTTCCGGCTAGGTGTTCCTTTATGCGGACACCGAGGGGACTGCCCGTTTCGCCAATGTATTCGTCTCCGCACGCCTTAGAAGAGATCAGGTAAACTATACCCGAGCTCATGCAATCACCGTCTTTACCATTGGGGCAAATTATGCAATTTTGCGTTGCACATAGACGGTCATATAGTCGGTTACGAACTAGCTGGCGCCTAAGGTTACTCACGAACTAAGAAGTCACGAACTTCTTCGATTAGGTTTTGTTTTGGTGAAATTCATAGTCAAATGCTTACTGGGATATTTGCTCTGCCCGTCCTCACTGGTTGTGCTGACCCCAGCATATTCTTCATTTTTTTGAGCTTTGCTACCTTAGCCATTGTGTTTCCCCGGAGTCCCGAGATCAACCTGGCGAAAGTCAGCGCCAGGTCGTCGCCACCATAACTAGTAGCCGTCCTTGTGGATCAGAGGCAGATTTGCCACCATGGGTCCAGTTTGATACTAGGGCGGTAGTGGATCCTGTAATTGGTTTACTTGTTACTTCGTTGATGTTAGTAGACTCAAATATAAGGATTGTTAATGAGGATGGCCCTTGGATAAAGTTTCTGGTAACAAAGGTGTATTGAAGTCAATGTTTAACAGAACTATGTCCAGTAGACGAAGTTTAAGGCTTTTTTCAAACATCGATATTAGTTAGTACATTT